ATTGAGGAAAGAACTGAGTATGATGCCGCTCACAGACAATACAAACGTATTATTTACTTGACCAACGAGCAAACTTTATTATCCCTTTACACTTTGTCTTTACACCACCAAGTGCAACCCACCGGAGAAATTGTGGATTCAGCTTTTCCCTTTTCTGGACACGTAATGGAAAGAGGGGTGGGGGTAGGGGGGTAGGATAAACTTGTTCTCAATACATACTCCCCACGTATTAAAGACTACTCTGAGCGAGATCAATTCTAACTGGGCTAGAGGCGAGAAATGAAATATGTGTAGATCACAACAGAAAACATGATCGCCCATACATTAAAGAAAAAGGAATTTTATTTTCGTACAAAGTAAACGAGATGAAATGAGTTGCCTATAGTTTTCACGGACTTCGAGGGTATATTGAAAGACAAACATGCATGGTTGGTTAGCTCTTCAACTATTTGTGTGATGATCACATAGAAACTCCATTGCGTTAATCACCCAACTGGGGACGGGGGAGGGGGAGGCATTCAGATTGAAATCACTTTCTGATTTCACTGTAACCAATCCTGAAGAAATTGAACTTGTGCATCTCTCGCGCCGAGAAGATGGACTGAATCCAGGGAGCTCGTGATCGATCACTTTTTGAAAACTCTACGTGTTTTGGGGAACTCAGAATTCTTGTCCAACTGCCTGAGAATATTTGAGCTCACGAAATGAGACAGGCATTCCAGTATGTTTATGAGTGTATATGTGACAAGTGGAAGACAGGGTGGGTGGATAACTGAATGAATGAGAGTTCACAAAATATTTCTGGGCCCATCAGGTGTGTGTGTGTGCGTGGAGACGGATGGCAATCGCCTGGGCTGTTGATAAAATTCTGAACCTGACCTCTGAATAACCTAACCTTTACCGTATAGAGTGTGTGATTGGACTCGGTCGAATGGCTCGTAATTGCCGTCATCCTGGTCCTTGTCAATCCCTGGTTCAACCAAACGGGGTGATGCTCCGTGATGCGGTGAGACCCACATAACTTGCTCCACAAAAGCGGGTGAGTTGATCAACACAAATGAGGTGGCACCCGGAGATAATCTAGCTTTTGTCTGCATAAAGAGAACCGGTTTGGATGTGAATATGAGGCGGGGTACAGCTGCGAGGTAGGTAAATTTGATGGAAGATTGAATTCGTCTACTCAATACTTTCGGGATCGTTTCTCCTCTGGATGGGCTAGAGAGATAGACAAACTTCTTACTTGCTGAGTCACATAATGTCTTGGATGGATATAAAGTCATGCTTTTGTGAATGAATGACTTAGGATATCCGTTCTTTAGAAAAAGATTTCGTATTCTTCTCTGTTCAAACTCGACAGAGTTCGAGGAACAAAGGTTCTTAACTTTATTGGTAAAGCAGTGAGTCAAATTATTTTCACTTGAGGCTTTCCGTTCTCTATACGGTCAAGGGTAGGTTATCCAGAGGTCAGGTTCAGAATTTTGTCAACAGTCGAGGCGATTATCATTCGTCTCCAACCCCCGCCGCCTGGTGGGCCCAGAAACATGGCCATCCACTAACAATCTGGTAACGTAACCTCCATGCATGAACTCTCACTCATTCACCTGCCCACCCACCCTCTGTCTTCCACTTTCCACGCATACAAGCACAGACATACACTCTCACATACATCAGTTATTAGAATTTGATCATCTCTTTATAAACTCTGATCGTCCTCGCAGATATATGATTCGAGTCTGTATGCCGTAGTAATGACGGGAAGTTAAGGCGCGTGCGCAAATAGATTGGGCCTTCAGCTTCAGATCTCAATCACACGGAGACAATTTTGTTTGCAAACGATTGGGTCAGTGGATCCTATTGAAAGCGCAGATGTGCCGTACTCGTCACTACAACCAAGACTGAACAGTGAGGGAGAGAATGATTCTCGTACTGGTCGGGGAAATGAACCGATCATTCTCTTTGTTCGATGGGGCTGATGGGTGCTCTGTAGGGCTGTATGAGAAATGTAATGCATTGTCCGAAACACCGGAACCGGCTGTGTTATTCCATACTGAACGAGAAAATTTTTATCTCCGGACGTAGATTTTCGATCGGATCCGTGTTACTCTGCGAGTTCAGTGCAGGTTCAATTTTGATCTGTTCAATCGGACTAGCTAATTTTTGTAAATGTTGAAATTCTTCGGTTCAAATGATATTCAGTTTTTTGCTTTGGTGTGTATCGTTTGCAATTCCAAATGTTCTCTAACTGGAACTCTGGATCCGTTTGGGGAACAGTACACGTTCTGCATGACCTGTCCCACACTACGTGATCACTAGCGTTCGTCACATTTGTCTGGTATGGTTTCAATGACAAGCCACAAATCCCATCAACTTATGCGAGGCATATTGGAAGAGCAGTGGTTACTGTGAACTCATACGGTTCTATGAGACATTGTCCGGAGGACTCTGTTATGTTTCTTATTGAGAGCGGTCGAGGGGGGGGGGGTTGGCGTTTGAAGGCCACTCATGCGAAGCGTTCGAAGTAATGTAACTGCCTCTTATAACAGATTAGTCAAGTTCACCACTGTGGATTTACAAATCGTTGGGAACAACGGATATCGTCTGAAGAATGAAAGAATGGAATTCTTAGGGGAACACGGAGTTCTCCGAGGAATGGATTTGCGTTATCTCAGATCAAATTCAATCAGTCCACTGGAAAGTTTTGTGTCCGTGTGATGGAATTTGTAGAGCGACATGAAACGATATTATTCCTTATGTGGATCTTTTGTAACTCTCTGGTGACTTCATGAAGATATCGTCGAATGGGAAGCTTTTTCCTAAGCTTTGGTGGAAAGCGGGATTTGAAGCTCGCACACACTTTAGCGTCCTTGGTTAGGTTGATGGCTGTCCTGCTAACTGCAACCCCGAGGCGGTGTGCTCGCTAGCGTGCACATCCGCTGGTTGCAGTCTGGTAGTAAGTATCATACAGTCTACGAATGTGCATGGTTAATGGTTGTACCAACGGAAACGGAAGAATAAATTACTAATGATACGAACCGTTTGTTTTCCAAAATAGGAGACAATTAAACAAAGCATTCTTTTAGTCATATTCTGGGTCAATGGTGAGTGAGGGGAAAAGATGAGAGGAAGCTTTGAGTATCCAGATAGGTTTGAGTAAGATTGTCTCACTTGTCCGGAAAGTGAAAAGGTGTACCGTTTTTTTNTGGAACAAATAAGAGATAGTTTCACTCCTCGATCATTTTCCGTATTGCATTGAGATTTTTTCACAAATTGGTACGCTATATGTACATATAAACTTTCAAAACAATGTGACCGTCTTGTTACCACCCAATGGTTTTCCAACTATCGGGAAAGCCAAATAACGACAGATCTCTCCACCTGTCTTGACGCCTCTTGTTTGTCTCCACTTTTATCGAAGATTTCAGTTGATCGAAAGTTAACAGATTGCTCTAATTCATGTAAAGAATTTCTCTAGAAAACCGGCAACCAAAATATCTTTTGACCACTAAATCTTTATACCGGTAAACAAAAGTGAAGTTGATAATCCTGCCCATGTGCACCATGAAC